CCAACCGCGGGGGGCTGCGCTACTCCCGGCGCCTGCTGGAGCGGCTGCGGGAGCTGGGCGTGCAGCCGGTGGTCACCCTGTACCACTGGGACCTGCCCCAGCGCCTGCAGGACGCCTACGGCGGCTGGGCCAGCCGCGCCCTGGCCGACCACTTCAGGGATTACGCGGAGCTCTGCTTCCGCCACTTCGGCGGCCAAGTCAAGTACTGGATCACCATCGACAATCCCTACGTGGTGGCCTGGCACGGCTACGCCACCGGGCGCCTGGCCCCCGGCGTCCAGGGCAGCCCGCGGCTCGGGTACCTGGTGGCGCACAACCTCCTCCTGGTGAGTGCGAGGGACCAGGCGGAGGGCTACGCAGGGGAGAGAGAGAGAGAAAGAGGACCTGTGGAGGTGCAGGGGCAGGAGGGGGACCCGAGGCTCCGGCCCAGATGAAGCTTCACTTGGAAACATTTGCGGGGTCACCCAGGATTCGCACCCCGAGCGGCTCTCGGGCTTCTCTTGGAAGGCGTGGAATTGGGCCTGGAGGGGAACCCCGGATGGGCGCACAAGTGAGTGCCCCTGGGAGCCCATTTGTCAAAAGGAAACGGGACCAGTTTCTCCACTAAGGATGGGAAGCGCCTTTCTCTGGGTGATGAGGAATTCCTAGAGGTTAGGGAGGGGAGGAAGCTGCAGAAAGAGAATGAGAGTGGCCGCCCCCACGTTTGCTGGGAAGCCGCACAATTAGCATTACTCTCTGCCAAGGTTTGCGGAGATGTCACGGGTTCAGTGCTAATCCAATAAGATCTGTCTTGCTCGTGGCACACATTCACACTATTGCGAAGGTGTCAAAACCAGGACTCTCCAAGAGTCAGATTGAAACAGTGAGTGGAGGTCCTTTCTACGGTCGGGCGGGGACCTGCATGACCAATCTTAGTGAATCACCGGAAGTTTGAAGGCCACTTTAAACAATCTTAAACAAAGCTAGGCGTAAAAACACAGAGACAGCTGCAGGGGGATATAAATTGTGTTCTTCAATCTCTATTCCACAGTTCTCTATCCAGTTGAAAGGATTCCTCACTTGTGAGATTGTGAGTCTGACAAAATTAATTTTTGCACCTTTGTGCAAAAGGTTTCATTAATTTTGACAGCAGGAAATGTTGATACGCCACGATACAGTTAGCTCTCAAATATCTTTTCTTCCTTCTTTCTCCTTTGTGTTTAAATTTAGGCACTGTTGGCTAGGGGGCCCATTTATTATGTCAGCTGTTTGGTACACTTTGTACAGAGTTTTGTATCATGATAGGATAGTTTATGTACATGTATAAGCATTTTAATAAAAGTATTTAATTGTACAACTTTAGGTGCCCTATTTCGGTGAATTATGGGCCTCCTGGAAAACTTATTTTTTTAAATTTAGAAGTAAGCTACATATTCTGAACCAATTCAATACAAAGACCATTTCTAAAGACTTTTAATTAAAGCCATAGATAATGTGGGCAGCACAGTCCTGGGTCATTGAGGTGACTTAGTACTCTGAGCTGCCAGTAATGTAACAATGGCTAAATTAGATTGTACCTCAGCTCTGCAAAACCTGTTGGCTACCACTGGTCATAAAAGAATGTTAGATTTGTTTGATAAACCAATTGTGATTTTAGTGATTTCATATTGATATATCAGTGATTCTCAAACTTTTTCAGTTTGTCAGTCGTTTTAAGGCATTAAAAAACCCTGAGCATGACCGATTTATGGTTGATCCTGTCTCACCTTTTGAAGAAAATATGAGCAAAGTATCAGTTCACACCAGAAACAAATAAGGGATTAGCAGAATTACTGGAGGACCTACTATACCATTCCTTTAAAATCATTACTTTAGATTTAAATCATACAAGTTCTATTTTTCGAGTGCATACCATAAGCTTTGCATATGGCAAGTAGTTGATTGTTATTATCGTGACTTTTTATTATAAGATAAGGAACTGCATGAACTCTTGGACATTCTGGTGTTTTCAATAATCAACCTTTATTTAGGTTTTTGTGATCACTCCTGGCCCTCTAATTAACTTTTCAGTTTTATTTTTGAATCCTTACACAAAAAATTTACCAAGCACTAACCAAACTTCCTAGAATTGCAGTGGACTTTGCATTTATAGGAAATTAGTAACAGATGGATGCTTGATTTTGCGGGTGCTGCAAACAAAATGTTAGTCGCTGTAAAATATTAATTGTGCTTTCAGATTTCTTTGGGTTTGGCATTTAGTCATTCTTGTATCTTATTTAGAAGCAAGTTCCTGTGATCAAAGAAGGTATCCTAGATTAATTTTGTTGTTTGAGATACCCTTATTCTGTGTTCAGTGTTCTTTCTTGGTGTGTAAGGCATGCGGGGGGGGG